CTCCCACAGGCTGAAAGAGAGCCGTGGGGGAGGATGGCCAGGTGAGGTCTTGCTACTTTAATCGCCTGGCCAGAAACCATCAAAATCCCAGGAATCCCATTTTGGCTGTTTCTGCAGAGCCCCCAGTGGGGAAGGTGAATTACAAAGCCGTGAATGAGAGGCTGGAGATCCTCACCTGCCAGGCCTTTGGCTTCTACCCCAAGGAGATCCAGGCCACCTGGAGGAGGGACGGAGAGATCTGGGAACAGGAGACCTTCCATAGGAAAGTGGCCCCCAACTCAGATGGGACCTATTATCTCTGGCTCAGCATTGAGATCAACCCCATGGAGAGGGACCGTTTTCGGTGTCACCTGGAGCACAAGGGCTTGCAGGAGCCCCTGGACTTGGCCTTCAAGGAGGAAAGAGGTGAGAGGCTGAGAGGGTAGAAGTAGAGAAATGTTTGAAAATCTGTGTGGGGGGGGGTAGTTTTCTTCTGCAAGATCTCATGTTTTCAGATGGAGAGCAGGAAAGGTCCTGCATTTAGAAATGGGAGAGAAGTGGTTTCTGTCAGAAGAGTTGGAAATGGTAATTTTATAGCAACAGTATGAAGATATGTGGGATGTTTGGTTGTGCCTCCTCCTTCTTCCCTTCAAGGCCATTCCCTCCTCCCTCTGCAGCCTTGGAGGGGAGGGGCTTCCTTCAGGTGGGGACACTTCCTGGAGGCCAAGGAAGGTTGGGAAAGGCTTCCACTCTTCAGCATCTCCACTTCAGGGAACTCTGGATCTGTCTAATGATTGGAACCATCTTTCTCCTTCTTTATCTCCAGGGTGGCTGATTCCTGTGGTAATTGTAGCATGCTTACTCCCAATAGCTGCGATTCTCTTCCTGATATGTAAGCGAAACAAACACACCCTCCAACACCCACCCCTGGGTCCTTCTGGGTTGACTAAGCTGGTGTGGATGGGAGAAAGGCTCTCTGAGGGTTGCAGCCAGGACCCCCATGAGACCCTCCTCCACAAACAGCATATAGAACATGGGCCAGAAAGGAAGAAGGAACTGTGCAGCTCTTATTCCACTTCCTGCAAAACTCAATACATTCCTGTCCTCTGGGAGGTAAACTCTTTGGCCTCAATGCGCCGCCTTCAGAGGAGCAAATATCAGCAGCTCAGGAGTCCAAGGAAAATTCCCTTAAATGTTCTGGGAAGAACTGGAAAACCCATAATGCTGTCCCTGAAGGAGATCTATTTGCCACCTGGCAAAGGGAAGCTCTGATGGAAGGGGAGGTCCGTGGAGGGAGAACCTGAGGACAGGCAGGAGCAGGGAGGAAGGTCCAGCGGGGGAAGCCTTCTTCTTTTTCTTTTTCTTTTTCTTTTTCTTTTTCTTCTTCTTCTTCTTCTTCTTCTTCTTCTTCCTCTTCCTCTTCTCCTCCTGCTCCTACTCAGAGCAAGAGACCCGAGAGGGAGGGAGGATGCAGGACTTGTCTCCTCAATTGAGTTTCAGCAAGTGCATCTCAGCACTTCCTGGTAATTTTCTCAGCAAGATTTTGGAAGTGCTCTGCCATTTCCTTCTTCCAGGGTGGTTCTTTTGACTTGTTTGTGATTCTGTGACCCAGCCAGGCCCAGATTAGCCTTTCAAGATCAGCCACAAGTTGCTCCTCCTTAGATCTGGGTAGGTTAAGATTGGGTCACAAATGTTATGACAGTTGAATTAAGAACTTCTGAGTCCAGAGTATATGAGGAAATACCACCTATCTAGTACCAAGAAGACTGTGAGTGGTTTGGAATCGTTGTTGTCAAAGCCATTGATGGCAGTTCATCGCAGGTGTTCAGAATAAATCCTTCTCCAGCTCAGGCAGGAGCTCTCCCCCCAGCCACAAATAAATTAGCTGTCTTCTCTTTTTGCCACCTGTCAGGCTTGTTTGGGAGAAGACGCGGAAATAACCACTATCAGGAAGTGGCAAGCTGCCATGATCAGGCTCCTTCACACAGAGGTCCTTCTCCCCCTGAGAATGAAACAGAAGATGAGATTCGATCTCCCTTGTTGCCTCAGTCAACATCAGAGGTGAGTGTGGCTGTTTCCGGCTATTGCTGCTCTTGAAGAGACAAAACTGGAGGCTTCAAATAGACCCAAGAACCAAGACCATCAAGGTTGTTCGGGTGGGGAATTACATTTTTCCAAGGTAGTCATGGATGGTTGGCTTCCTGGGGGCTCCTCTGATGGGCTGGTCTGCAGTGGAAGATCCAGCTCAGCTCAGCCTCACTGGCCCCTCAGCTCCTAGGCAGGAGAGGGAGGGAGGGAGGGAGGGAGGGAAGGAGGGAGAAGGAGGGAGGGAGAAAGAGGGAGGGAGAGGAGGAGGGAGAGGGAGAGAGGGGGAGAGAGAGGGAGAGAGGGAGCAGGAGAGGGACAGGGAGGGGGGAAGGAGGGAAAGGGAGAGAGAGGGAGAGATGGAGGGAGAGAGGGAGGGAGAGAGAGAGAGAGAGGGAGGGAGAGAGG